TAGTGCAGCTCAACACCAGGGTCCGGGCACATGGAGCGCCAATACCCAACGACTGCAGAGAAATACAAGTTAAACAAGACGGGTACCAAAGTACAACCCTGACGCAGACCGTTGTTGACGTTAATGGCAGCAGTGACACCGCCCTCGATGCGGACCTTCACCTTCATCGACTCATGCAAGGACTTGATGATACTGAGCATCCTTGGGGGAACACCAAACTTCTGGAGCAAACACCACAGCGCTGGACGGGGGATCGAGTCGTATGCCTTTTGCAAATCGGCAAAGAGAGCATACAACGGCGAGTCATGTTCGTAAGATTTCTCAATCAATTGCCTGGCAACAAAGATCATGTCTGCACACCCTCTGCCTTTGCGAAAACGAGACTGTGACTCGGGAAGCATCTTCTCCGAGATTGTCTGCAGCCGGTTCTGAAGAATCCGCGCAAACAACTTCCCAACAACATCCAAAAGGCTGATACCCCTCCAGTTATCACAAACTTTCAAGTTGCCTTTCTTAGGTATTGGAACAACGATGACATCCCGCCACTCAGCGACAACCGATGCCTCATCCCACACCAAATGCATGAGCTGAACCAGACGATCATGGAGCTCCTCACCACCCGAGATAATCATTTCGGGAAGGATACCTGATTCCCCACCGGACTTTCCAACCTTCATGGAGCGCATCGCCGCAATCATCTCTGCCTTCGTCGGGGGATCATCCAGTTCGGTCTGCAGTGGCTCATCCGGGATAGCTGTCAAGACAGCTGGATCGTACTGGCTCTCGACATTCAAGACTCCGTCAAAGTGCCTGAAAAACTGATCCCGGATACCATCGGAGTCCGCCAGGAGTACACCATCCTCATGCAGCACTGATGTTTCACGCTTCGGCTGTCGACCTACGTGGAGGGTCTGCAACTTCCGGATGCAACGCCACTGAGATCCACCGCCAATCTCAGACCTCTCCGCCTCCTGCGATACAGACTCAATCCACTTTTCCTTGGTCTCCCGAACAGCCTGTGCCACAGCTCGCTGCTTCTGGCGGAAGCTCCTCATCGCTGATCGCGTGCCCTTCTGCAGCATCTCGTTGTTGGCTTGGTTCTTGGCATCGATCAATGGCTGCAGTACATCAATATTCCTTAGGAACCAGTTTGGCTGGATCCTCTTCCTTTCCCCAAGGACTTGCTCAGAAACCTCACACACACAATCCCGCAACGTCGACCATTGGGGCCTGACTGCCGGGGCCGTTGCTGTAGGCCGGTGGACATACTATCTCGAAACTTATTACGAATAGCATCCCTTGTCAACACCTCCACAGCAGCCACGGCTTTTCGTCTTCCAGATGTAGGCGGGCAAGCTCGGCGCGGCTGAGCAGCACTGATACGAAGCTTGATGCGAACCATGAAATGATCGGTGAAACAATTGGCACCGCGCATAACGGAAACATCCTGACAATGCCAATGCTGGGACTGCCGCATGAGCACCATGTCGATAAGATGTGGGAGCCTGGTGGCGGGGTGAGTCCATGTACCACGCCGATGGTGAGGCTTTCGATACCACGTGTTCATAATGGACAGCTGGTTTGTAGCACATCACATCAGCAGCCGTTCTCCTGCTGCATTACACTGTCCAAGGCCATGCCTGCCATGAACATCTGACCACATTTCACCAGAAGCAGGCTAAACACCCACACGCGCGCGTTGAAATCTCCCAGAAAAATTTGAATGTCATCACGTGGTACTCCGTCCAGTGTAGTCTGCATGTCCGCGTAAAATTTATTTTTCGTTGGCAAACTGGCCTTACTAGTGGGAGCGTAACACTTGATGATAGACAGGAACAAGTCCGACTGTCTCCTTCACCGCTGCGAGGGCACCCAATCACCCGCGTCCGCCAGTTTGAGTCGCCCCACCACTATTCTTGAGCCTATTGCCGTCCAGGACTTGCCACCACGTCGCCACGCATCAGTCATATCTGGGTTGAGGACGATGCCAATGCCCTCGTTGCGGAACGCTGGAGGACCAGCAGGAGGCAGTTGACGGCCCGAGTGTAACATAGTGAAGCCAGACGACGACCAGACGTCCGCCCCGAACCATTTCGTCTCCTGTACGCCAGCTATTGCTATTTCGAAGCGATTCAGCTCCCCTACCAAAAATTCAAATTTTCGGTCCACTACCGTATCCGCCTGCGCTGTCGATGGACGGGCCCTTGAAACCTTAGGGTCGCCGCCGTCCTCAACAAGCGTCCTGACATTCCATGTCGCGATATTCAACTTCCTGGCCTTCGCTTCTCCTCTCCGTCGACCCGAGTCCACACGCGCCCGCACCATTTTAAACAAATTTCAAAAAATTTCAAACGAGCGAGCAGACGTCCTCTTGTGCAAGCGTCAGTCAACACTACCACTCGGACTCCGGAATATCCAGCGAGAGCAGATCACCGACAATCGTGTCTCGCCAACGCTTCTTTGGCCCATGCCGTGGTCTGGTTGCCTGGAGCTCCCCAAACAACACTTGTTGAGGAATCCGGGCAACGTCCATACGGGCAACATGACCCAGCCAACGCAGACGGTACTCACGCAGGAGAGTGCCAATGTCTTCAGGAAGACACGCTCTCTGGGCTAGATCAGCAGTAGTAAGATGACGGGAGTGCTGATCGCTCCTTGAGACTCCCAAGATGGAACGGACGCATGAGCGATGAAACAGATTCAGGCGATTCATCTGCCCGGCCTTCATGGGGCAAGTCTCTGCTGCATAGAAGAGGGTAGGGAGGACAATGGCCTTGTAGACAAGACGCTTTTGGAGAGCGCCAAAAGCACGAGAGGCCTTGGCAAGGCGGGAGGTAAGCTCCTTGTCCAGAGCACCGTCTGCACTCAGGCCACTGCCAAGATAGGTAAAGCTGTCCACAACCTCCACGCTTCTTCCATCCTGAAGATCAATGGAAGGTGGCGGGTCAGAGCAGTTCACCGCCATGGCCTTGGTCTTCTGGACGCTCACAGTTAGACCCCAACCCGAAGCACAGGACACAAACTCGTTCGTCATCGTCTCCAGGTGGCTCAAAGAGGTGGTGTAGAGAGCCGCATCATTAGCAAACTGGGACTCTGTGACGTCAGTGAAGCCTCCACACACATACACACACGCACACACACACACACACACACACACACACACACACACACACACACACACACACACACAAACACACACACATACACATGCAAACACACATGCAAACGCACATGCACACACACACACACACACACCTCACACGCACACGCGCACACACACACACACACACACACACCTTGAACCTTGAACCTTGAATCTTGAGCTTGCCCATTGTCGAAGGCAATGATAGCGAAGAGACTAAATTGGCATAAACTGGCAGAAAGGCTTATAGCGCTTGAGATCGCCGGGGCGGCGACACATCTTCCCCCTAGCACAACAATATTCTGGCTCAGCGGAGAAATCACGAGGCTGAGGACGACAGTGGATAATCTCCCTCCACATCAAATGGTCCTGGGCCGTGTCAACCTTCCCCGCGACAGAAGGATGGATGCGTTTGAAGTTGTCCACAACCACATCCCGCCAACGCTTGTGTGGGCCGTGCTGAGGTCTAGTTGCGAAGAGCTCCCCTAACAGGGTGCACTTGGAAAAGCGGTCATTGTCCATGCGGCCAATTTAGCCGAGCCATCGTAGCCGACCCTCGCGGATGATATCGCCTATGTCCGGCTCGATTTCGAGGGTCTTCGCCAATGCTGGAGAAGTGACCCGATGATCCCATTGCTTGTGTCTCGAGATGCCAACAATAGCCCGCATGCAGTGAAGTTTGCAGCGGTAATTGTAGAAACTGTTGCAGCGTCAACTGACAGTCTCCCTGACATTTTGCCGTTTGGTGATTCGTCCATACTGCGATCGTGCACATCAGCAGACGTCCCCACCGTAGCTACTCTGTGTTGCACAAACTCCCTGAGGCGTTCCTCAGTGCATTGGTCGCCTAGGTTGCCAACGTACAGAACAGCTTTCTTTGCCTGGGAGGCTCCGACGACACCATTTTCCAGCTGTCATCTGCGACCACCTGGAGTATTGCTTCTTGCTACGCTTTGAGTTCTGGACTGGATGGAAGCTGTCTTCGTCTACGCAGGTTGCATCTTGGTCGCTGCCATCCCCTTGGCACTCGTCACTGCTAAGGGAGATGTTGCAGGGGACGCTGCCATGCTCTTCACACTCGTCACCGCTACGGGGAATGTTGCTGGGGACGCTACGGGACATTGTGGTGTCATGCTTTCGAGTACTTGCACCCGCACTGCCTGCTTTGGCACGCCTACGCGAAGGTTGACCCGCACCCGTACCCTGCTGTGTTTGAACTGGCCTTGGGGTAGCTTTTCGTGGGGCAATGGCGGATTCTCGGAGAGATGCTACCTCTTCGTTCACATCTTTGAGCTGCCTTGACAGCTCGTCAACCCGTTTGTTTAGGCGGGTCTCCCAATCAGCCAATTCCGAGATAATTGCGGCCAATGTTTTCAGGATTTCTTCCACAGATAAAATGCCCGGCAACGACGCCATCAGCCTCAGCTCTTCATCACTCAGGGCAGTCGTGCGAGTGTTTGTTCTCGTGGTGGTCCCAGGCATGGCGGATGTAACCAATTTCTACGAGTACTACTAGAAGAACTTACTGCTTCCCTACGGAAACTACCTCCAGTCCGGCCTGAAGCCGGCTGGGCTCTACCAAGAAAGATTTACGGAAGTTTAAAAAAGTGCAACCTACCCCTACTGTACAGAAACGTACATTGCGGCTTGCGAAGCCTGAATCTGTTTTCAACGAAACGAGGACGAGCCGAATCAAACTCTCGTTTTGCATTCGGTTCGCAGGAGATGCGAACGGTCCGTATTGTCATGTCATTGCCCAATGTTGTGTACTTGCAGTGGATAGCTGCCATTGTGGCCCTGTGTGTGACACTGTGCTTCTGTGTATGCGCTCTGCCACCCCCCCCCTTTCCCAATGCAGGTCAGACAGTTTATCTGAAAGCGAAAAATACAGGGCAAACAGCACCATTTACTGTGACATTCGGAGATGGACAACTGACACGCGATGTTAATAAGTTCTTACCTACTACCTCGGGATACAGCTTTTATGTGACATTCCTTCGACTGGAGAAGACTACGGGCAGTTTTGCTTTGTATAACCGTATCATCCAGTCTGGCTTTTCTGTTGATCCCTTTAATGGCGATTATCCTCATCTGACCACATCATATTCTGGACGGTACCATTGGAGGGTAATGAATAGAAACTCTACAGATACATATCAACTCAACATTGTGGGTAAGTACGGAATACTTTCTTTCTTCCTGTTGAATGATGCCAAACTTTGACACTCTACGTAATTATGTTAGGTTTCTGTTAATGGCATAGTGAACCTGGATTCTGCACTGTAGGTTGCGTGTTTTGAGGCTCCCGTTTTCCCGTAGTTTTCAGGTAGCTTTTGGGGACTAGCCCCAACAGCCTGGGTGGTATGGCTAGCCCAGATCACACTGAGCAGCTGGTGAGCACCGAACAGGTCCATACACAGCTTCGCTCTTGCCTGGCATCGAACACAATGTTGTATAAGTGCTCAGAATTCTAGCTCGTCTTCAAAGCCAACTTCAGGACCAGGAGAAACGATATCAATGAAGGATTAGTGGATTGAGCTCCGAACTTTCCCAGCTGAGAGAGGACCTGGCCGACACTCGCCTGTGCCAAAATTTGGACATCGGCAATGTTACGTGTGCGTCTTGTAAATCAAACTCCTCCGCCATTGCAGACCTAGAGAGAGAGCAAGAAACAACCAGCCAGAGGCAGCGCAAAAAAAAAAAAAAACCTAGTACAGGCACAGAAAGTCGTACACAGTCCGCCGTACCCGTGGAGAGTTCACGACCCATTGATCCCAATATGGACGAGATGGACCTGACCAGCAGTGTTGGATCCGACGTTGACAGCTCAAACAACAAGCCGTCCAACTCCCGTACACATGGTACACCCGGACCCAGCTCGGAGTTGACCCCGCCACGTGCGGATCGCTTGCTGAAATGTGAAGAGATGAGTAAGAGATGAGTAAGGATTCGGACCTGTGCTCCATGAAGGGAACCTGTGCCGAAATGTGGACCCAGTGGCACGAGTGTCTCATGTCTCATGTCACTCGTAGATCAACATGCACCACTCCGGCCTCGGAAGCACCGTGCCCACAATGTCGCACCATGGTATACCCCGGAGCTCGCAGCGCTTGTACGCAGGCGCAACAAACTGCATCGGAAGTGGCTGAGAACCAGACTTGATGTGGACTACCGCAGCTTCCAGCAGACCAGACGGGAGGTTACCCGCACTAGCCGAGCACTGAAGGAACAGCATTGCAATGAGGCATTAAATTTTGTGAACGCTACGGGGAACCAAAGGCAGACTTGGCGTGTATTGAATCAGCTGAGCGGACGGCAGCCAGTCCACGCTCTTCCCAAATGCTCCCCGGATGACATTGGTAATGTGTTTGCAGGCATTGTCAATGACCTTCAACGTCCCCCAGCCTTGACTCTACCTCATGGCCCCATGTCTCCGAACAGCCTTTCAATCTTTAAACCTGTTACCATTGCCCGTGTGCGTAAGCTCCTATCGTCAATAGCCACGACAAAAGCTACTGGCAGTGATGGCTTGCCCGGAACGATTCTTAAATCATGCGCTGACCTTCTTGCACCCTCACTGATGCTCATCTTCAACAAATCATTGTCCGAAGGCCAGCTGCCACCGAGCATGAAAATCGCCAACATCACTCCCGTCTACAAAGGTGGTGACCCCAGTCAACCCACCAACTATAGACCTGTCTCTTTGCTCTCTATAATCTCCAAGCTGCTTGAGCGTATCGTCCATGAGCAACTCAGTCAATACCTGGCTGAACATAATCTTTACCCTTTCTGTCAATTTGGCTTCAGACGCCAGCACTCTACAGAGGATGCTCTCACAATGGTAACAGACAAATTCCTAAGAGCCCGAGATGACGGGCTGTCAACTGGCGCTGCTTTCCTGGACATGTCAAAGGCCTTTGACAAGGTCCAGCATCAGACACTTGTCGAAGACCTATTCCAGCTTGGAATCTCCGGCACAGCCCTGAACTGGTTAGGCGACTACCTCTCAAATCGTCAACAAGTCGTCATCAGCGGCGATAGCAGCTTATCTTTCACATGCTCAAGTGGGGTTCCCCAAGGGTCTGTACTTGGACCACTATTGTTTGTCATATATGTCAGGGATGTCGCCAGTGAAGTGGATCAGTTTGCCGTCCAGGTAACCCAATTCGCGGACAACATCATGCTACACGATAGCAGGAAGGACAAGGTAGTGCTGTCACACAACATGCTTAAGTGGGGTTCCCCAGGGGTCTGTACTGGGACCACTATTGTTTGTCATATATGTCTGGGATATCGCCAGTGAAGTGGATCAGTTTGCCGTCCAGGTAACCCAATTCGCGGACAATATCATGCTACACGATAGCAGGAAGGACAAGGTAGTGCTGTCACACAACCTGTCTTCAGCCATCACCCATCTCAGCAACTGGCTTGGTGAGCGCAACCTAATCCTGAATAGTCGAAAAACACAAATATTGTTTATTCCTGCCAATCGTCATGACGACAAGACATTCATTGTGCAGCTACACTCCTCCAGCAAGTGACAAGCGCCAAGTGTTACCCCTCTGTCACACACCCGTCGAACGAGGAGCACAGATGTTCCCCTGCTTCTTTTCCCCAGGATCATATCTGCCGCTGCCACACGCAGCCCTTCATATCAGTGTCCCGCTCTCTGGAATAAGTTGCCTGCATCTATACGATCACTGAAGAAACCAGGTCAATTCCGGACCGCTCTCTTACCCCACCTGAAAATTTCACTGACTTACGTTGCTCACTGATCAAAATAATGGAATCTTTCCTCTGCTGTCTTAAATCCTACTCTATTTTTCTATTTTTCTTTTAATCTTTTCCTTACATTTTTGGGCCTGTACCTTAAGTCGATCTCATGTAATAAGGCAACACTGCCTGTTTGTTATTTGCCGTTAAATAAACCAATCCAATCCAATCCAACCTAATAGAGATTCAATTAACCATCCGGGTCTCCACCGGACCGCCAGATGAATATTCCTGTACATTGAGTATGCATTCTTGGATTTTCCATCATAACATTGCTTCTACTTGACCAGTCTTGATGATTTGGGGCTTCTTGGAAGGCTCTTATACAGGACTATAATGAGCCTTACCTCATCAAGGAACCCAAGTCTGTCCACCGCAGTGCACCAGGAGACCGCCTACAACACGATCTTGTGAAGCGAGACATCGATCCAACTGCCGCACACACACACACACACGCACACCCACACACACCCACACACACACACACACACACACACACACATACACACACACACTATCAGTTGAGCTCGGCAGTGAACGTTTTGCTGAAGCACTCCAAAAACCCACTAGGGATACAGACCAATGGGGGAACAAACATACAGCTGAGGTATATTGACAGCTTTTAGAAAATGATTAACATCGTCAATCAGATTCACAGTTGCTGCTACCTGTTGTTGTCGTTGTAGGATGTGGTTGTTTTGCTGAAAATGATGTGTCACAGTGTTTTTGTATTGTTGTATTGTATTTTATTATTTTACTTAAGCATTCCAAACAGACCCTAAGGGGCCGTCCGTAAAGTTTTTACAATCCGTGAAATTTTCGTACCTGGGTGGTGGGTGCAGCCGAAATTCAAAGGATATAAAATATCGATGACACGCGGACCTGGGGGTGCGCGTGGGTCTGCGTGCGTCGAACCACACGTACACGTAGATTGTTGTCTCCAAAAAATGTAGTGGAGATCGAAACTCTTGAAGCAAAAGAAGGAGGGAAGTTTGTCAGATATTATTCACAAGTATAATTATTGCACAGTTATTCGAAGTATCACAATACCTGATTAATCCGGGTCAAGTTCAGCTCTTATTTGAACTCCACATCGAAGAATTGCTACATCGCCAATGGTTGGAACAGTTCCCATGTGGAGCGTGGCCTAACGAAAATGGCACGGCAGACTACTTTGTTTGGTACAGCTGCCAAAAAAGATAAGTTTTTCAAAGAGCTTGACAGCCCTGGTGAAGACGACGATGGCTACTACGCCGTCATCGAGGCCTTGTAGACTGTTGAATCGTCCAATAATCGATCTGCGTTTTTCACCAAAGCACAGAAGCAGTGGATGGAGACGTTTTCCGCAGACCCGCAGGCAAGGTCGGAAATCATCCAAAAGGCCAATTCACTCAGAGCGAAGGACGGGCAGAAGCTAGGAAGTAGCATTTTCGCACAGACTTCCACCTCCGCCGACACCCCGAAGGACGACATTGGACAACATTCCTGGCATAAGTCTGCCAAAATATATTGCTGTACTCTAGTTATGAATCACACGGTGACTACATGCCTGCGTATGTATGTACTCCATGGACTCCACCTACATTTATGTAGGTACAGTACATGTGTCATCAATATTTTATTCCGTAAAAAGTAGGGGGGTGGGTGGTGGGTCCTGGTTACTTTGTAAAATTAACGGATTGAAAAAACTATCGATATTTACGGATGGCCCCTAAGGTCTTCTTGCAGGGTGCCCAAGATGAATGAAATGGTAAGTTCCTGGCGAAATGAATTGGGGATATGATTTGTGCGAAGGGATTCGGGAGGCGCATAAAATCGGTCAGCACCAAGGAATGAAATAGATCTGTGTTCAGCTTAAGCTTGCACAATGGGTAAGGAAAGGAAATCATTGACTTGGCCACGGGTTACTCTATCTGTGTGAGCGCAGTCACGGCGACGGGAGAACATGTCAGAGAGGAGTGAATTGCATATATTGTGGATGCAATGGAACACGAAGAATATGGACTTAGTATGATATCTTTTGTCTAAGCTAATTATGTGGTATCGCTCAAGCAAGTATGATGTCCGCGTGAATGTGTCATGCTCAAATATGCATCTAAGTGCTCTCTTACTTATGCGTAGCACCTGATCTCTCACATTGTCAGCGAGGCAGTGGACGTAGGCAGTGCTGGCGTACTCGAGCTTGCTCCGGACTACTGACAAGTAGAACTGCCTTCTGGCCTGGACAGCAAGGTTCCTCCTTCCACGCAGAAAAGCACCTAGTTTCTTTCCGATGTCTTCCCTGAGGGAGGTAACGTGGGCACTGAAACTTTTAAAAAGTTGAATCGAGAGTCAGTCCTAGATACTTCACTTCGTCAGACGGAGCAATAACAGTCGAACCGCAGACAATGTTCAGGTTAG